ATATATATATAAAATGAGCATATCAAGTGAGAGGGAATTTATTATGAGAGATGAGAAGGTTAAAATATAACCTTAGATTAATTTCCTCTCACTTGATTAAACCTCAAATTTTCTCTCACTTGATTAATCTAAGGGTTGTATTTTAACCCTCTCATCTCTCATAATAAATTTTCTCTCACTTGATATGCTCTCTATATATATATATATAACGTAAGATAAAAGGTATGTCTAAGGCCTTAGAATTTCTAAACATGGCCCTTATGTATTATTCATGAGATGTAATACTATTCAAACTACTTAATAGTGTGTTTGGATGAGTAAACTAGTGATTGGAAAAGGCATGGAGAGCTCTGCTAGGGTTTCTGAAGGAGAGAAGGATAATATGGAGCGTAGATGCACTAAGAAGGTCAAAACGAAGGAGGCTGCTGATGATCTAATCGTGGACGAACAACTGGATGACACCATGGAAGACCATGACGCTGAGAGTCATGGAAACAGTGACCATAAGAAATCTTATGCTGAGAGCGTCTTGTCCACTGGAGGAGGGAAAATTTTTTCCGACTACCATAGCTTACTGAAGGAGATGGAGGAGTTTGATGACAGATTCTCTGCTAACACAGACTCGCAGGACATCAACGAATAAGACCTTGACCCGTGCCCAACTATTAATGTCTCACAAGATGAATTTGAGGAATGGTGCTCAGTCTGGAAGAATGCTTTAGTAATCAATGTTCTGGGGAAGCGAATCTCGTTCAAAGCTATTGAGCATAAAATCAATCGTGATTGGGTCAGATCTGGATCAGCTAGGATTATTGACATGCCCAATGATTACTACCTGGTGCAATTCTCAGCAGAAGAAGATTATCGTCATGCTCTTTATGAGGGCCCTTGGATGATTGCGGATCACTACATACTAGTTCAACGTTGGAGACCTTTTTTCACAATAACGACTTCCCAAACAAGGAATGTTGTTGCATGGATCAGGATTCCAGGCCTACCTATCGAACTCTACAACGATCGTTTCTTATGGCGTGTGGGTAGCAAACTTGGCACTATGCTTAAGATTGATAAATTGACATCTATACACTCGAGGGGAAAATTCGCCAGAATATGCGTAGAAGTTAACCTGAGAAAGAAACTAGTGTCTAAGATAAATGTGATGGGACACATAATCAAACTAGAATATGAAGGACTACATTCGATTTGTTTTAGATGTGGAAAATATGGCCACAGACAAGACATTTGCGGAGAAGGTATGGATCACCATCCTGTTAATGGTGAGGAAGGCGCAAAGGTAGGTGAAAATGTGATGGAGGATGATGCAAGGAACCAAGACGTAACTATGGGTACTGCTACCCGTACAGGCTCTATGAATCAAAGTGCAACTCCACCTTCAGAGGTTGATCAGTCCAAAGCTTCGAATGATTCAGAGGATATGTATGGGCCATGGATGTTGGTCAAAAAAGGCAAGAAAACGAATCGTAACAATTATGTCCAGAAGACCAAACAAGGCAATCACACAGCTTCAAAAGTGACAACAGGGAAGGAAACTATAATTTCTGGAAAAAATACGCAAGAGGATATGCCAAGTCAAAAC